CGGGCCACGTCAAAAGGTAATTGAAACCAACCTTAAGTTTCTTTTATCTCCGCCCTAAAGGTAGCCCTGATTATTGCTGACTTAAGCATCGGAGTGTCTACCCCGAGTTCCACCTCGGGGCTTTGCAGGTCATCTCGGAGTGCAAGTGCGGACTGAAGAAGGACTTCTGGTTTGGTGCAATTACAATAATCTTCGCCAGTTATCCGTTTGAATTTTTTTAGTTTTGCTTTTATCCCAAGTTATTCATTTGTTTTCTCTCTAGTTTTGTTTTCTCACCTTTTTCCCAAAATACAAATTAAAATAACACGAAGATGGATATAGCCTCGGCCTTAACGTCTTCTGTTGTTTATGTTTTGTTGCGTCGTCTTATTAGGAATTCAATCACTCTTCTCAAAAATCGAAAGCAAATTTTTATGGAGCTGAACGAGATGCTGAATGCGCTGAACGAAAGAAAATTATCGGTGGACGTGGCAGCAAATTTTTATGGGCTGAGAAATTCAACTCCAGAAAGCCTGTTTTGAAGATATATCACTACTAGAAAACTCAAAATCACCAACCCATAATCACCTATGTAAGAAGTTTTCTCGGTAAACTATCCTCTTACCGACAAGATAGACGTCTGCAAATAAAGGAACAGTAAAAATAAGAATAATCTATATTATTTAAGGTACAAACAAAATTTTTCTCGATAAATTTGCATGATACACACCTGCCCTTCATCGGTAATATGCTGCAATGTACACTCCGGCAACAAGTTGACCAATAAACAAATCAGCGACAAAGATCATGCCTGTAACTAATTCAATCTGCAACAGGATTCATCTTGGTGAATTTACCGACAAAGACTCGTTGGTAAATTCACAGTTCCCAACCCTCCACAGTGAATCCGGCTACCAATGGTTGGGCTTGCAGCTTTTGGTACACTTACCAACAAAATTCTAGTCGGTAATTTCATATTGCCAACCATACACTTCTTGGTTATCACGTTGTTCAACCTACATGCTGTAGCTTTGCAGAGAAGATCAGCTTTTAATGGTAGCAATGTAGTTTTCATCGGTAAGGGGTACCTCTTACCACCCCAGACCCTCTTGCCCTTTCATTTTGGTCTTCCTCTTCAGGCATCTTGCTTTCCTTTCCTTTGTTCTTCCCTTCATATAAATTCTTCTTGGTCTTCCTCTTCCAACAACAAGCAGTGTTTGCTTTCCTTTCCTCCATTCCTTCCTTCGAATCACTCTAGCATTTTGCTTCTTACAGTGTGTGAGTCTTTGTTCGATAGCTAGATATGCAGTGTGTGAGTCCTTGTTCAACAACTAGATCTAAATTTTTCTGCCCAAATAAAATAATAATAGTTTTGAATATTCGACCATAAAGCAATCTCCACATACTCCAAGGCAGTTTGCTCCATTGGACCATTTCAAAACATGATAAGCACAACATTTCCAAAATATTTCCTCCAACAAATTAAATTCTGTATCTCGTAATTAATTGCTCCACTTATAAGCAGTGGTAAGTGTTATTTACCTAGTTTTATTATTTTATATTAAATTTAAATATTTGATATATATTTTATTTTTCTGAAATTTAAGCTATCAAATATTGTCTTTAGTTCATTGGATATTAATTTTGTGAGACTGTTGTTTTAGCTAAATTTTTTGGATAGTTATTAGTAATTTTTGATAATTTTTTAGTTGTAAAATTTTAATATTAAGTGTTTGAAATTAACATTATGAGATTTATTGGTTTGAGTAAATTTTAAATTAAATATGAATTTTGGTTCGTTGAATTTTTTACATAATTTTCATGCTAGTAAATTGGGCGGGATTGGAAAATTTTTGCACATTTTGGATTCCCGCGTGCAAGCAACATTATGATGTGCATTTTGTTAGTAAAATAAACTTCGACAAGAACCACATTGGTAAAATACTCTATATATTACCACAACACTCTAACCTGTTTAGTTCTTCTTTCTTTCTTTCTGTCCTTCTTCTTCATTTTTCTTCTCCTCCCTTCTCTGTTCCCCCTCTTCTCTTCCATTATTCAGATGCTGCTAGATTATATGTATTATGTTTATAATTACATTATATTCATATAATTTTAGGTTCGCATCTTCTCAATTTCCTCTTTTTTTCTCTTCCATTCTTCTCTTTATGTGACTAAACACTAACTTGTATTATTAATCAATTTAATTCACAATTCTAACTTTTTTTTTTAATTTTGTTTTCCAGGAAACATTGTTGGGAGAGACAATGGTATGGTTAAATCAATTTTATTTATGTAAACTACCATTTAACTTCATTTCTATTTTGATTATTATTATTTCACTACAAGAAAATCCACATTTAGTGACTAAATTATTGATCATTAAATTTTTATTTTTTGTCATAAATTATTATTAGTGATAAATTTTAAATCGTTAGTAAAACCCTTGTCACTAATGCTCTTAGTGACAAATTAGACACTTGTCACAGAAAATAACTTTATAATGATAGAAAAAATTGACATTGTTAACAAGTTATTTATAACAATTTTATTCGTCACAAATGCAATTATGATGCAAAATTTAGTCATTAATTATTAAAATTGATATTAAATAAAAAAGATATTTACATAATTACAACACAAATATTTTAACAAAAATTTTGTCACAAAAAAATAATATATAAATTTATCACAAAAGTTTAATAAAAAATATTATTATTTCA